ATCAACTCCTGATGCCTTGTTTTTTTCCAATTCTTTCAGAGCAACTTGAACTTCCTTCTTCATCACCATAGGCTCTTGCTCGTATGTTATTTCATGAAATTCCTCTTTGTCAGCCAATACCTTCTGATACAGTGATTCTGTGTATTCCTTCCAACTTCTCTTGATACTTCCTGGATTATTTAACTTTCTACCCAAAGTATGGTTAAGTATTGCCACCCGTGTCTTAAATTTGTTTTTCAGCTCCTTCAGCTTAAGAAACGCTAAGCGAGTTCGGCCCTTTTGATTTTATGACTCCACCTCTCAGCACATTTCGTTATAGTATCTTGTTTGGTCATCCTGGGCTGCGTTTTGAAATTTTCTGTTCAGGTCTTTGATTTCTTGGTTTCTTCCTTTAGCTTTGGCTTCTTGGTACTCTACTGCAATACTCAAGAGTCTCATCTGACATCCAGTGGAACTTTCTGTAATAATGAGCCTTTGCATTTCAGTTGCCCATTATTATCAATGCATCTTGATTGCACATTTGATCAATTTCTGAGTGCATATGTTAGTACAAATCTTTGTGCTCTTATGTAATGGTAAAAAAATTAGAAATACCTCAAATTCCTATTAATAACAACACTGTGAAATAATATTATTCTTGTTGTTATGTGCCATCAAGTCACCTGTGACTCATAACAACCCTACACACAACAGCTCTGAACCGTGTTGTATCCTGAGCCAATCTCACTGTCTCCAACACAACTAACCCTATTACCCCAGTTACTGTATCAATTAATCTCATCCAGGATCTTCCCCTCCTCACTGACCCTCTTACCCTTCCAAGTATGTTGTCCTTCTCCAAGGACTAGTCCCTCCTGGAAATATGCCCAGAGTATATGAGACAGAGTTTCAAAATACTTGCCTCCAGAAAACAACCTGGTTACTCCAAAACAGATCTGTTTGTTCTCTTAGCAGTCCATAGTATGTTCACTGCTCTTCTCCAGCACCACGATTTGAAGGTATCGATTCTATTATCATCCTTACTCACCCTACCAGCAACTCCCACTTGCTCCTCCCAGCCAACTCTTGTATGATCGATCAGACCACTTCTGCCCACTCATTTCCTCTCAATTCCCCTGGGATGCTGGTGCTTTGGGCAGGACCCAGTGCAGGTGATCTAGGCTGGCATAGAGGATCTGGCTCTGTCAGCACATATTTTTTAGTCCCATTACTTTTTAAAAATAAAAAAACTTCTGTTCTAAACTGTGGTACTAATATATTCACAAATCACATGGCTAAATTTCTGTATTTAGGAATATGTATGACAATTCCTCAATATAAGTATTTTTTTCCCATTTCGGAGCTCTAGTATGCAAGTTCAAGCCGAAGCTAAAGAAAATTAAATCAGTTCCATGGGAACCAAAATATGACCTTGAGTCTCTCCCACCTGAATATCAGAACCATCTCAGGAACAGGTTTGAGGCCTTGAACACCAATGAGTGAAGACCAAATGAGTTGTGGGAGGATATCAAGAGTATCATCCAAGGAAGAGTGCCAAAGGTCATTAGAAAGACAGAGAAGGAAGAAAAGACCAAAAGAGATGTCAGAAGAGACTAAATATTGCACTAGAGCGCCAAGAAACCAAAGCAGAGGGAAGAATTCAAGATATTAAAGAGCTGAACAGAGGATATCAAAAGGAAGGCAGGGGAAGACAAAGTAAAATACTATAATGAAATGTGCAAGGATCTGGAGCCAGAAAATCAGAAGGGCTGTACTCAGCATTTCTTAAGCTCAAGGAAATGAAGAACAAATTCAAACCTCCAGTTGCTACAATCAAGGATGCTTTGGGCAGAATATTAAATGATCGAGGAAGTATTAAAAGAAGATGTAAAGAGTATACAAAGTCATTGTACCGAAAGGAATTGGCAGACAAAGAAGAATTTCATGAAACAACATATGCGCGAGAGCCTATGGTGATGAAGGAAGAAGTTCAAGCTGCTTTGAAGGAATTGGCAAACAGTAATGTCCCAGGAATAGATGGTATGCCAACTGATATATTTCAGCTAACAGATGCTGTCCTAGATATGCTCACCAAGCTGTGCCAAGAAATCTGGAGGACAATCACTTGGCAAGCTGACTGGAAGAGATCTATATTTGTTCCCATTTCAAAAAAGATGGACTCAGCAGAATGTGGAAATTTCCGAACAATATCATTGATATCAAATGCAAGCAAGATTCTGCTGAAGCTATCCAAAAACGACTGGAACAGCACATCAGAGAATTGCCAGAAGTCCAGGCTGGGTTTAGAAGTGGTGGTGGTACTAGGGATATTGTTGCTGATGTTAGAAGGATCTTAGGTGAAAGCAGGGAATACCAGAAGAATGTCTAGCTGTGTTTCATTGATTATGCAAAGGTGTTTGATTGCATGGATCATAACAAACTGTGGCTGACTCTGAGAAGAATGGGAATCCCAGATCATTTAATCGTGCTGATGTGAAACCTATACTTGGACCAAGAGGCAGTCGTCACAACAGAGCAGGGTAACACTGCGTGGTTCAAAATTGGAAAGGGTGTACGCCAGGGATGTGTCCTATCTCCATACCTTTTCAACCTGTATGCAGAGCAGATTATTCGAGAAGCTGGGCTCTTTGAGGAGAATTGTGGCATCAGGATTGGTGGAAGATCTATTAACAATCTGCGTTATGCAGGTGACACAACCCTGCTTGCTGAAATTGAAGAGGACCTCATGCACTTGCTGGAGAGGGTCAAGGACTGCAGCCTTTAGTATGGACTGAGGCTCAATGTCAAGAAGATAAAGATTCTCACCACTGGACCAATTGGTAGCATCAAGATGGTGAAGAGATTGAGATTGTTCACAGCTTCAGTTTGCTCAGTTCCACGATCAACACTCTTGGCACCAGCAGCCAGGAAATCAAAAAACGTATTGCGATGGGAAAGTCTGCTGTTAGGGACCTCTCTAACGTACTCAAGAGCAATGGTGTCTCTCTGGAGACTAAGGTGCGTCTGATAAAGGCCATGGTCTTCGCAATCACTTTTTATGCATCAGAGAGTTGGACAAGGACTAGGGAGGATAGAAGGAGAATTGACGCCTTTGAGCTGTGGTGCTGGAGAAGAGTATTGAATGTACCATGAACTGCCAAGAAAACAAACAGATTGATCTTGGAGAGGGTTAAACCAGGGTACTCCTTGGAGGCAAGGATTCTGGGGCTTCATCTGACATACTTTGGACATGTTGTAAGGAGAGACAGGTCCTTGGAGACGAACATCATGTTTGGTAGGGTTGTGGGACAGCGCAGGAGCGGAAGACCCTCTATGAGGTGGATTGATTCAGTGACTGGGGTAATCGGGATGGGTGTGTTAGAAGCAATGCGATTGGCACAGGATAGAGTAGGGTTTAGGGCTGTTGTACATAGGGTCGCTATGAGTCGCAAACGACTCGATGGCACATAACAACAACAACAACAACAATGCGAAACCTATACTTGGACCAGGAGGCAGTTGTCAGAACAGAGCAAGGAGACACTGCATGGTTCAAATTTGGGAAGAGTGTATGTGGCGGATGTGTCCTATCCCCATACCTGTTTAGCCTTTATGCAGAACAGATTATCCAGGAGGCTGGGCTCTGTGAGGAGGAGTATGACATGAGGATTGGTGGAAGAGTCATCAACAATCAGTGTCATGCAGATGGCACAAACCTGCTTGCTGAAACTGAGGAGGGCCTGAAGCGCTTGCTGCAGAAAGTCAAGGCCTGTAGCCTTCAATATCGATTGGTGCTCAATATCAAGAAGAACAAAGAGTCTCTCCACTGGGCCAACTGGCAACATCAGGATGGATGGTGAAAAGATTGAGATTGTTCACAGCTTTAGTTTTCTTGGCTCCACAGTAAACACTCGACACCAGCAGCCAGGAAATTAAAATACATATTGGGATGGAAAATCTGCTGTTAGAAACATCTCCAGAGTATTGAAGAGTAATGGTGTCACTTTGGAGACTAAGGTGTGCTTAATAGAGGCCATCATGTTTGCAGTCACTTGCTTTGCATCAGAGAGCTGGCCAGTGACTAGGGATGATTGTAGGAAAATTGATGCCTTTGAGCTGTGGTGCTGGAAAAGAGTATTGAATTTACCACAGACTGCTAAGAAAACCAGCAGGTTCAACCTGTTGTTGTTGTTATGTGCCGTCGAGTTGTTTGCGACTTATAGCAACCCTATGTACAACAGCCCTAAAACCTGCTCTATCCTGTGCCTTCCCTTGTAGTGTTTGTATCTTATTAGGGGGAAAGAGGCTATCTGGGAGGAAATTCATTCTATTCTGAAGAACAGTCAGACAAAAATAAGAGAAACAGCAAGCACAGAGAGGAGTCAAAGAACATGGATTATTGAAGCATATCCTATATAGGATATGAGCATATCCTATAAATCTTCCCTTTCTGTAAAAGCAAGCAAGACCGAGAGTGGAAGGAGGTGAGGAGACCTCATCAAGGAAGACTTTGGTTGCTACTATGAAAGACTTTGTTGGTTCTGTATGTGAGAGGGGAAATAAGTGATGATCTGAATATTTAAAGAGTTACTGGAAGTGTTCTGATGATAAATGAGACTGATACAGAAGTAAGGGGACCATACCACAGCAGTAACTCAGACTACAGGTGGCAGTGCCTGAATTAGAGCGTTAACACTGATAGAGGTTTTGAGATACGGTGGCTGGTGCCATAAGAGACGTGAGAGAAAAGAGTCAAGGATGGTCCTACATGGTTTGGCCTGGGCAGGTGACAGTGAACACAGGGAAAGCACTGGGGAACAAACAGTCTGAGTGGGAGGGCTACAGCTGTGCCTGACTGAGTCCTGCCAGTGCAGTGGAAGCAAAATAATTCCTTCTAGAGAACTGATTAAAGAGGAACATTCACACAGAATAATGGAGCAGCTCTCTTTATGTAAGGGATGAGTATGAAGACTTTACATGTACGTTTTGGGTCATTATTTCTCATTTTCTGTCTTCCACAGAATGACTTCTCAACAAATCACATCCCTGTCATGGGTTTGCTTGCCCCTGCTCACTCTTAAAGATTTTGAGCCCCTGGTGGAGTCTCTGCTCATCTACCATGGACATGAACCACAGGAAATTCTCTGGCCTGAGTTCTTTGAAGCTGTAAATGAAGCTGTTGTACTGTAAGTGATATCCATTTATCTAACCTTTAACTTATTTTTTTATTTCTTAAGATTCTTTATACATCCAAGTGTTTTAAGACACGTATCAAACATTTTGGTTTCGGTATTCCTTTAACCAATGAAAATCTTATTGATTCCAACTTATCATCCATTTCACACTCCTTCCTTGTATGGTCATAAATTCACCCAAGAAACAAGCATAGCAAAGACAAATATCTTTCCTAAAAGAATTAACTGTTACGATTTATCCTTTTTTCCAGTGGTACAGTCAGCAATAAAAATTTTAGTATTAAGACATTTAAAATACTCACATTTTTAAGTAAATCAGGGTAATAACCTGCAGATGTTTACCCAAGACCTTGACAGAAAAGACTCAATTCTTGCAAATAAATCTAAACACCAAAAGCATCTGGCATAAAAAATTCTAAAAAACACAGAGAAGAAAGGTGAGGTTTCTGTACATGAGTGGGTCCACCAAAGCCAGAAATTTCCATTTCTCCAAATATTCAGTTCACTTTGATTCAGGTGTAAAGAAATATAAGTCCA